AAAATCTGCCTTCCAACCCTTCTCAAATAAACCCTTTGATGTGGTTCCCCATCACACCAAAGTAAAACCAAATTTGTTAAATGCTTTAAACAGATCTAAAGAAAAAGCCCCTGAAATTCCTTTCTTTCCATACTATCCTCCTCCTCTGATCTCTATTCAGAAGTCTATTTTTCCACCAACTCCCCAACCAAAACCAATAACTCTGGAAACTTTGTTACATCCTAAGCCCAGACTTAATGTTAATCCTTTATTTCAATCATTTTTGCAAGAAATACAGTTGTATTTAGGTACTGTACAGAAGAAATGCTCAGCAACAATGGATGCCAAAGAATCTGATATTATCTGGAATGGATTCATCAACAGATTCAACTCTGTGGCCTCCAATCTGAAGAACATATGTTCTGATGATGCGAAGCTCAGATTTGCTGAGGCTGCAAGAACTCTATTCTGTACTGTCAAGAAATATGAACCTCTACTCCTTACAGATGCTCCTCCATCATCAGAAGAATCTACTGACATTGCATCTGAAGAAAATCCTTTGGCCATGACTCTGGCAGACCTCCCTTCTAGCTCCAATGCTCCAGATTCTACAGAACCAATGGAAATTGACTCTGTTTAAGCTCCAGAACCTGATCATACTTCTTCATCTGAGATAAAGAAAGAACATCCAGATTTGAAGATAAGATTGCTGCTCTGGAAGCTGGTCAATCAGAGATCAAGTCCTGGATGGCAAAACAGGATAAGAAGTCTGAGGATATGACAGAATGGATGTCAAAGCAGGATCAAAAGAATGAAACTATGGCTAAGTGGATGTCCAAGCAAGAGCAGTCCTCCTCTGAGATTACAGATCTATTGAAGATGCTTTTGTCCAAACACTCTTAGACTTTCATTTTTTTCATTCTGATGTTTTTGCATCTGATGTTTGTTTATGTACTTTATTGATATATCTTCTGATGCATGTAACTCTTGTTCTATTGAATGAATCAAAGTTTTTCTCTACTGAATTATCTTATTTACTGTTTCCTTTTTGTCTCTTTAAAGTTTTTACATTTTGCTTATGACAAAAAAGGGGGAGAAAATATAAAGATCTGAACTGTTTAAGTTAACTTCACCAGAATGAAACTTCAGACATATTTATTCTATCTAACATCTAATCTGAGTATTTCAGAACATTTGATAAGTATACTCTATAAAAGAAACTTTGAGTCTCTCAGATCATTTGACTATTATCAAACTCTGAACCTTAAATCTGCAAGACATTCTAACTCTCAAATGTTAAAAGAACAAACAAGATCTAACTCTGAAGATTACTCAAGACAAAAGGGAAGTTTCTATTCCTTATCTGTATTTAACTCAGGGGGAGATTCATCATCTCAGGGGGAGTTATAATTTTAATATTTTCATTTAAACAAAATTTCTGATGTTTTTGTCATCATCAAAAAGGGGGAGATTGTTAGAACACAGATTGGTTCTTAATAATATCTCTATGTTTTGATGATAACAGTTAGGAAATTTTGTATTTAAGAATTATATACCCTAAAATTTTCTTGAGAGTTTTTACTGCAAATAGTAAAGATATTAACACTCCAGAAGCAAATCAGAATTGAATACAAGAAATTAGCTAGACTCTGTAGCGTTATATGCACTCATTAGAAGACTCTGATTGCTGCCAACAGAAGATTCTGAGCGTAGCCTCCAGAAGATTCTGAAGTAAAAGCTCCAGAAGGATCTGAAGTAGAAGCTCCAGAACAATCTGAAGCAAGTCAGAAGCATCTGAAGCAAAGAAAAATATTGTATGAAGAGTTTTTCAAAGCATAGTTTCTACAGAAGATTCTGAAAGTACTAAAGTTGTCAGTACTGAAGTTCTGTCTCAAATATGCTCTGAACTTAAACACGCTGAAAGCACACATGCTGCAGAAGAATCTGATCCAGTATAGTTCTGATCATCATTAGAAGATTCTGATCCAATCAAACTCTGATGAACTTGCTGAAAACTGAAGAAGAAATATTCAAAGATTATATCCGTTGGAGTAAATCAAACGTCTCTTTCCTTATTTATGCTAGACACAAGAACACAGACAAAAAGGATTTTTCTGTGCTTTCTTCTTCTAGGAAAGGTCACTTGATGTGAAGACAAAAAGGCTCATACCTTTTGGACACTCTTCTCAACGTGCAGCTCACCTTGGATCAGCTGCCTATAAAAGCAAGACTTCACCAAATTCTTCAGTTGACGTTGGCATTGAAAAGAAACAAAATACTCAAGCTCTCATACTTTCATATTCATTCTTAGAATTAATTTCTTTGTACTTAAACTTAAGAGAAATATCACTGTTGTGATTAAAGCTTTTTAGAAGCATTCTTACTCTTGTAATAGTTTTACATTGATTGTAAAGGATTTCCTTAAGAGGATCCAGTTGGGATCAGTAGCTCTTGAGAAGACTAAGAACAGTTGTTCTTAGGTGTTACTATTGTAATCTGTTTGATTAAATAGTGGATTAAGTCCTTGATTGAGAAAGGAAAATCACTCTAGGAAGGGTGGACTGGAGTAGTTGAGTTCAACGAACCAGGATAAAAATAATTGTGTTTTATTTCTAAGTTTTAATCTTTCATACTTATTCAACCCCCCTTCTAAGTATTATCTCACCTTCAAATACTACTCGTGTGAGTGTATATGTGTTCCCACCAAATAGAGAGAGGTCTTCTAAGACAGCTCTATTCTGTAGCATTTCTTTTCAATAATATCCTGATATTCAGATGATGAGGCTACTAAAGATTATATCTGAATATATTCTTATTTTTTTGTGGTTATGTAAGGGCTTAATGCCCAGGATAATTTTTATTTTGGCACTTCATGTCCTTGTTATGTACCTTTAACTTTTATGTTATTGCTTGGTTGTTTAGTTAGTTTAACTACCTTTTTCATATTATGGCTAAAAGGGGGAGTAATACTAACTTTGCAGAAGAAGGAACTGATTGAGGGGAAGGTTTTAGAGTGTTTTAGGTTTTCCGCTGCTGTTCTGGTTTTTGGCCTCTGACTTTATGTTTCTGCTTGCAAGGGTTATTTAATTAGTTTTAGCCAAAATCTTCCAAAGGGGGGGATTGATGAGTCCAAGCTTTTGAGGTTGGAACCAATTTTCGTAAAACTAACTTGACAACTAGATGTTGAACTATATGTCCTAACATGAAGAACTAACTGAAGATTAAGATGTTAGACGAGATGATCTATCATGATGATTCGACATCTTCGTGTGTTTCTTTTCATTTTTTTATTATGATATTTTACTTCCAGATTTGAGATTATTCTAGGAATATTTGTTTATCCTAGGTGGCGTTCAAGATTGAGGAATCAGAGATTCTGTAGAAACCTGAAGATGTCGTTTCCTAAGTGTAGAGTCACTTTAGGAAACTTTGGATTGAAGAAACTATTCTTTTGGAGAATCAGTTGCAGATTCTGTGTGACAGAATTGCTGCGTTTTTGAAACCCAAATCCAGTATAGTTTATAGTTATAAATAGGATGGATTTAACCTAAGAAAAGTGTGGAACGTACTTTGTTGCTTAGTGTGTTTAGGGTTTGTATTTTGTGAGCCTCTCTTGTGTCTGTTGATACTTGAGCTGGATTGTTTATATTGAGTTGTAATTTCTGTCACTGATGTGATTGAAAGTAATTGAGAAGTGTCTCATACCTAGGAAGAGTCTTAGGTAGAAATTAAGTACGGGTAGTGATTAAGTGATAAGTTGTAAACCGGAGGTTGTTTAGCTTAGAATTAATACTATCTATTGGATTTCATTCATGGTTTGGTAGCCCCCAGACGTATGTGTTGTTGTTCACCGACTGGGTTAACAATTCTTGTGTGTTTGTTTTCTTTCTGTAAGTTTGTATTGTGTTGCTTCTTGTCATTGTTCTTAGCAGAGATCAAGTGTATCGACATCTCTTAGGACATCTGAGATCTGCATACTATAATTTCAGGTACAAAGAAGATAATGTATATTTTCTTCTTAATATGTGAAAAATCCTCCCTACTCTCATAGGAAAATATTGTATTTGCATCAACAAGTGTCAGGATTCAACGCATCCGAAACTCATGTTTTGGATAGACGATGTCATATTGACATGCAAATTGTGAAAGCTAATAAGAACCCCTTCGATGTTTGATATTTACTATATTCCATCTTATTCAAGCCTCATCATGGTCCCCAAGGAATTCGAAGAAGTTGAACTAGAAGCACACAACCTCGACAAAAGGCTCGATAAGAGGAAGATTAAAGTCAAGGTGTCAAATAAAATTTGGAGATTTATACCTATTTGTTCCTGATAAACACTATTTGGATAAATTTTCCAGAAGCTAGTCAGGTGAGATCACAATTGTCCTATTTGTTAGGAGGTATTTTGTTCTCCTTTTCCTCGTTGGAAAGTCTCCTTTTATACTCGTCTACTTATCAATAGCCCTTAAAGGGATGTCCCTTCGTACCCCATTTTAAAGTGATCTCTGTAATGTCCGCCGTCGTCTTTAAGTAACACATTTAATTTTTATAACTCTCATGCAATCATGGAAATATAATCGTCATCCCTAGTTGTTCATGTCGCCTCTTAGCAGCTTTTCAGAGACCATATTTGACTTGCTCATCTACCAGAGTTACTACGTGATCGGATCCGACTTGTTCATGCCTTGTAATAATGTGCTTCTTGACCGGGATCCAACCTACTTAGAATTTATACAATTCAACATGTTTGTTCCTTTGTATTCGTCCTACAACAACTGAGTGTATGAGAATGTACACTATTTTTTTTTTTAATTATTTTTGCAACATTTATTATTTATTATTAAAAATTAAAATAGTCCACCTATAAACCGTTGAGATTTATATTAAATGCTGCTTAGTCGAAAACAACTTGCAACGACATGATTGCTATTTGCTAGTCATTTTCCTATATAAATTATAGCTTAGTTCCTCTACTTCAAATCGACGGTTTCTCTTGAACATGGGAATTGCAAACAATATGGTGCTGTCAATACGTCCCCAAAGGCTAGCACTTGCAAGGATCCCAATACAATGTCACCAAAAATTCTCATCCAAAATCTCCTTAAAATCCCAAAAGACACACTCAATGCCACCAGAGAAAAAAGAAGTATTCAAATCACTAGAAAAATGGGCAGTGCAAAGTCTTTTACCACTCATCAAACCCGTTGAGGAGAGCTGGCAACCCCATGATTTATTGCCAGACTCGTCGCTACCCGCAGATGAGTTCATTGATCAAGTGAAGGCCCTGAAAGATCGAACGGCCGAGCTTCCAGATGATTATCTTGTAGTATTGGTGGGTGGCATGATAACTGAGGAAGCATTGCCTACGTACCAAACATGGGTGAATGGATTGGATGGTATTGAAGATGAGACGGGTTCAAGTTTGACACCATGGGCTATATGGACAAGATCTTGGACTGCTGAAGAAAATAGGCATGGAGATTTACTCAAAACCTATCTCTATCTATCTGGTCGAGTTGATATGCACATGATTGAGAAAACCATCCATTATTTGATTGGAGCTGGCATGGTAATACATTATATGTCATTTCACAAACATATGCATGAACAAAAATTTTATACTTAGTGCACTTAATTTTTTTTAAATATGAAACTAATTTATTTTTCATGGCGTAGGATTTACGTACTGAAAACCATCCATACATGGGTTTTGTGTACACATCTTTCCAAGAGCGAGCCACATTTGTGACACACGGCAACATAGCTCGAATGGCTAAAGAGAGAGGCGATACTACACTTGCACGCATATGTGGTACCATTGCTGCGGACGAGAAGCGCCACGAGAACGCATACGTGAAGATTATCGAGCAGCTTCTCAAAGTAGATCCCACAGAAACCATGATTGCTATAGCAAATATGATGCGCCGCAAGATTACAATGCCTGCACACTTGATGCAAGACGGCCAAGATTCGCGACTCTTTGATCATTATTCTACGGTGGCACAACGTACTGGGGTGTACACGACGAATGATTATGCTGATATTCTAGATTTTTTAATTGAAAGGTGGAAATTGGAGAAGCTCCAGGGTTTGACAAGTGAGGGAGAACGTGCACAAGAGTTTGTGTGTGGACTTGCACCTAGAATAAGGAAATTGCAAGAACGTCTTGATGAGAGAACAAGAAAGATCAACCATAAATTCACTTGGATCTTCAATAAAGAAGTGTCATTTTGAAGATTTATGGCATCCTCTAAAAGCTTGCAACTATTCTTTTGATTTGAAAATGATATCTTGATAGGCACGTGGATATCTGTTGTACTTTTTTAACTTTGTTTGAAAATCATATCATGCATCTGAGTTAATAGTGGCTTAAGTATCTTCTATTTAGTGTGTTCTTGTTGTTTCGTTGGAGATTGGTGCAAGTCCTAATAAGTGGAGCTCTAGCATGTTCTTTCTGCGCTTTCGTTTTGACATGCTTTGTATTTCCTTTTCTCTCTGTTTGGTGTTGTGTTTGCTTCTCAATTGAATTGGTGGTTGGTACTTTTATTTGTTAATCTTTTAGACGTACGCTTTCTGTTTCTATATTGTTGGCTATTAGGTATCGAGATAACACATGTCTGAGTGTTAGTTAATTATATAGTAGTATCTTGTACTATCAAATAACAATATCTGCCACTATTGTATCATCTACTTTAGGCATTTCTTAAATATGGTGGTGTATTTATTATATATATTTGATGTGGAAACAGTATATAATGAAGATTCTCACCTAGAAGGTAATAACTAACTAAATATATTTGATAAAATAAACTTAATGTAATCTGGTGAGCCCTTTTAATAGAAATAGTTAAATTAAGTTTGGTCATGCTAACTTTTACTGCTTTTGAAAAATAATGCTAACTTGGACGAAGTATTATTTTTGACCTATATGAAAATGATAGAGTTTTTGACATAAATTGGATTTATATTTGCTTGATTTTTAAATTAAAAAAAAAATGAAATTCATGTCTCGGCTGATGATTTTAGACCTATATCCCTATGCAATGTTAGGTTGGAAATTGTCACTAAAACTATTCCAAGTAAGATTGAACCAGACCTGAATAATATTCTTGAGTATGATAATATCATTTTTGTTCTTGAAGCTTTTCATACTATAAATAATAGTGATAGCAGCGAGAAGGGCTATATGGGTCTTTAGTTTAATTTTATTGGAGTTCAACAATGAACCTCCGTTAATGCACAAGAATTTAAAAAAAATGAAAAAGATGAAAGAATTGCAAAGCAAAAAGAGAGAGAATGAAAATATAACCAACTTTCTCTAATTCTCAAAATTGAAAAATCTATTACAATCTCCAACTTTTTTTAAATAACCACCTTTTTTCAATTTATATATCAAAATTACTATCATTTTAAATAAATTTTCAAAGTAACCAATTTTCAAATAAAAAAAATTGGATGTAAAAGGAGGAGTCAGTCAAAGTGGCGCATGCATTCTAAACTTGTACAGAGGCCACTTAAGACGACGCATATGTAGCGGGGAAATTTGTGAGTGTAAGTTATTGATTAACTTAACTCAAAATGCAAGAGACGTCATCGTGCTTTTATTTTATCCAAGAAAGAAAGGAAAAAGAGCGTACAAAACCTAAACAAGTTTTAAACAAGAACAAACAGAGAATGGGTAAGGGGATTGGTTACGTTAAGGAAAGGTGTTTGCACCAAAAACGTCTATATTACTCTATAGGAACCCTTTGAAATATCTTCTCTTTTTTGGTTTGAAAAGGTTTGTTTGAAATGAGATTGGGGAGATGAGAAGAGAATTATTTTTAATATTTTTGTGTTTGGAGAGACTTATCACCTCATGCCTACGTACCCGCAAAATGCAATATAGGATCAAAACCTCGTAGTTCGTGATACAAATAACGAAAAATTGTATATTTTGATTGATTTTAAATGAAAAGACAAATCCTCATTTTAAGGAGAAAACTACGACTAGTCGCCCACAAGTATAAGACAACATTTGCATCACCTAAAGATGGAGGATTTTGCATGGATTAAAATCAACAAGTCTACCACTCAACATCTAAGTGGAAAATGTAAAAATCTTAAATACTATGGAGAATATGAGAATTATATCTCAACTATGAAAATGGCTCATGTCTAAATTTTATGAAAAGTTTTAAAAGGAAAAGTGCACAAATGCACAAAAAGAGTGAATGAGTTTTGGTATTTTTTATGTCTTTTTGAAATTAGTGAAAGTATGATTAATATTGATTGACATTTATTAAAGAAAATAAAGTTTGAAAATCACATGACCAAAGTCAAGGTTTTTTATGAAAGAGGTTTAACTTTGAAAACAAGAAGGTTTTGAAAAAGAAAGAAGATTTTGAAAATTGAAGAAAGGGTGGAGAATAAGTGACTATCCTAAAACAAAAGATAAAGCTAAGGATAAGAACGATCTAACCATATAAGCAAGCTCCATAACATAAGCATTTCATCCTTTAGATTAGGTTTTGATTAAAATATGTCTTCAAAAGAGAACTATAAGTACCCAAAACCCAAGGTTTACCATCACAAACTTCCAAGCATAGGTTAAGATCCTAGTTCTAAGTCCAAATTTCCATGTCCAATGTAAATGATAGTAACCATAGCCCACCATTAAAAGAACAAGTTTTTTAGGGGTTTAAGCCTTTATTAATATTTTTGGTCCAAATGGACAAAAGAAAGAGTATAAACATAAACAAATGGTCCAATTGGACAAAGGAAAAATGACGGAAGCATAATCAAATAATATGATATGATATGATAACATAAAGCATAAAAAAAGAGATAGGGAGCGATGAAGAAGCATAAACATAGCACAATTGATATACAATATATAACAATAGTGATACGAAACAAGAGAACAAGTTTTGTTGTGTTTTCGGAAATGCTCGACTAGACCTCCATGAGAATGAAAACATGGTCACATACATTACCATGGGGAGGGCTCTAACTCGTATAAAATCAATGAGTATGACAATTACCCCTACGGGTAACAAGAGAAATCCAATCTATTTCAAACTACGCCATGGAAGAATAGGAGACTCATAATTTGCTTACAAATCACAACGGTTTTCCGATTTCAAGACAATTTAGCGCTATGTTAAGCAATCATAATCGGACTTATATAGAAGTTACGACTATCTGAGGCCGATCAATAAAAATGTTAGTGTTAATGCATGCTAGAGAAGTGATATGTAGATCACTGTCCGAATGCAATACCGCAAGAAAAGAAAAGAGGTAACAATCTCATCTTCATCAAGAACTTAAAAAAGTTCTAATGATTTCAAAGATTTTCAACGATCAAAATAAAAAGAAGAATAAAGGAAGGCAAAGCCAAATTGAATCACAATTCTAAAATTCTTCCATCTTTAAGTTCAACCACTCATATTGGTGGATTAAAGCACTAAACATATCATTAACTCAAAGCTCCTAAAATGAATTGAGCAATTTCACTTTAAAGATATATTTGAATTAGTGAATGTTTATCCAACTTTATCTACACCCTAAGTCCATTGAATTTAAAGAGGAATAAGACCTTTAAAATTGAAAACCAAGGAAAAAAACAAAAGGAAAAGGAAGAATAAGGAAAAGAACTCAAAACAATCCCAAAACAGAACCAAAAATACAATTCTTCTACTAGTTAATCGATTAACCAACTTCCACTGTATTTGGTTAATCGATTAACCTTAACATTACAAAAAATTGTTTTTTGAAAAATTCATCATTCATGATCCAATCATTTCTTCAAACACCTCATGATCATGAATGCAAATTAGCACGAAAATTCAAGTAAAACAACAACAAAAATAACACCAATAAAACACAATTTGCAAGATCCAAAGATCAAGCAATAAAGATCGACAACAGATCACACTGTGGAAGATGGATCAAGAACAACAATGGTGGAATAAGGGTTTACCATTTCAAATATGAAAATGCTCAAATCAACTTCAACAACCACACTCCAAAGCTTTGATCTACTAAAATTGATGATGAAAAAGTGATTGGATGAAGGATTTAACTCAACGATTAGTAAGTTCCAATGAAGAACTTACTAACTTTAAAAGAAAGAAAGAGCTTTAGTAAATTTGGTGGTTGAAGGAAATTGAGAGAATGAGAAGAAAATTTGACAAGGTGATTTTGACTCTCAAAAGCTTGTAGAATGAATGAAATAAAACCCCTATTTATAGAATTTAGGCTTGGAAATTTTGGTGGTTTAGAATTTGATTTGGAATCAAAATCAGGCTTGGAATTTAAATTTGGAGGCGAAATCAAGATCAAGTGGTGATTAATGAGGGCGTATGATAGGAGTTAATTATGATGAGGTAGGGGTATTAAAATGAGGTGATCTAGAATATTTTCATGATGAAACAATGAATTTGGTGCAAAAATGCTGCAGAATTTGAATTTGGCTCATTTTCACAAAAGACACACTGGTTAATCGATTAACACAGTAAAAATTGTGAAAACTTGCCTTTTTGGCGTGCTGCCTTGGCTCTGGCTCAAATCTTTTGACTTGGCAAAGAAGGCATGAAAATAAACACATGACCTTAGAGACTTTTGAATAATAGTCAATCAAATCTTGGGAAACTCTTGATCAAATTATTTTTAATTGATCAAATAATTTTTTAACTGTTATCAACGACTTCACTAGGGAACATCCGAAATAGTGATGCACAATCTTCATTGGGAGGATAAATATGAATAAAAAATCTGGAGAGACATACATCTTGGACTTACTCTATGCTTGGGAAACATCTGAATAAAAAGTTAACATCACTACTCTATGCTTGGGAAACATTTGAAACAATAATGCACTGCCTCCGTTGGAGAATCAGCAAAGATAAATCTCTGGGTAGAACAACTTGGAAAGAAACACATCCTCAAGACAAGATAAAACCCGACAAACGGCCACTATGTCAATACTCAATAGAGGAAAATAACATTGCTTTCCGTTTGGGGACATTCAAAGCAACGACAACACGTCTATAGAGTAAAACTCTGAGTGAGGATTCCTCATATGACATTTGACATTAACTTGATCATTATCATACTTTAAATCATAAACTAAATAATACTGAAAATTTCATATTACATGTCTTGTATTTTTGAGAGTATACAATGCTACCATTAAATTATAAAAATGATAATATTCTAACAACATTATGAATCACATTTTCATAGTGAGCTAG